CATCTGCAGCAGCACCTGCATCAGCCCCTGCAGACGCGGATAGGGAAGGACAAACCGTGTATGGACCTTTGACGAAGGAGGAGGGTGAACTTGAAAAGAGCGAAGGTGGTGAAGGAGGCAAGGTGAAGGGTTTAGAGGGTGTGAGCAAGGCGAAGACAGCAGGGCCTCCTCCTGCACGACCGCGTGGGTTTCGATGACGTGGTGTTTGTAGGCTGTGACGAAGTAGACGTCGACGTCCTTTTTGTGGACGAAATCGACGTCGTCGTGCACGTAGTCGGGGACGTCTGCGCCTATCCCCTCCTGTTCGGCTGTATGGACCTTTGTCCAAGGAGGAGGCTGAACTTGAAAAGCGCGAAGGTGGTGAAGGAGGCAAGGTGAAGGGTTTAGAGGGTGTGAGCAAGGCGAAGACAGCAGGGCCTCCTCCACGTGCTCCGCCACCCAAAGCTCCTGCACCACAAACATCCGACACTGCTTCATCTGCAGCTGCAGGAAAAACACCAGCTTTAGCTGCAGCAGCACCTGCATCAGCCCCTGCAGACGCGGAATCCCCTCCTGTTCGGCAGTATGGACCTTTGTCCAAGGAGGAGGCTGAACGAGAGAAGCGCGAAGGTGGTGAAGGAGGCAAGGTGAAGGGTTTAGAGGGTGTGAGCAAGGCGAAGACAGCAGGGCCTCCTCCTGCACGACCGCCACCCAAAGCTACTGCACCACAAACATCCAACACTGCTTCATCTGCAGTTGCAGGAAAAACACCAGCTTTAGCTGCAGCAGCACCTGCATCAGCCCCTGCAGACGCGGATAGGGACGAACAAACCGCGGATGGACCTTTGTCGAAGGTGGAGGGTGAAAGTGAAAAGCGCGAAGGTGGTGAAGGAGGCAAGGTGAAGGGTTTAGAGGGTGTGAGCAAGGCGAAGACAGCAGGGCGTCCTCCTGCACGACCGCCACCCAAAGCTACTGCACCACAAACATCCGACACTGCTTCATCTGCAGCTGCAGGAAACGCACCAGCTTTAGCTGCAGCTGCACCTGCATCAGCCCCTGCAGACGCGGATAGGGAAGGACAAGCCGTGTATGGACCTTTGACGAAGGAGGAGGCTGAACGAGAGAAGCGCGAAGGTGGTGAAGGAGGCAAGGTGAAGGGTTTAGAGGGTGTGAGCAAGGCGGAGACAGCAGGGCCTCCTCCTGCACGACCGCCACCCAAAGCTACTGCACCCCAAACATCCGACACTGCTTCATCTGCAGCTGCAGGAAAAACACCAGCTTTAGGTGCAGCAGCACCTGCATCAGCCCCTGCAGACGCGGATAGGGACGAACAAACCGAGGATGGACCTTTGTCGAAGGAGGAGGGTGAAGGTGAAGAGCGCGAAGGTGGTGAAGGAGGCAAGGTGAAGGGTTTAGAGGGTGTGAGCAAGGCGAAGACAGCAGGGCCTCCTCCTGCACGACCCTGCAAGTGTCAAAGTGAAAGGAATCCATAAGGTTGCTCCGTCTGTGACAAAAGCTGAATTTGTTGAAAGAACCTGTGCAAGTACCCTGCCTGCACCTCCATGCATTCCACCGGTCCTACGAACTAAGGATGAAGACATGCCAAAGCCACTTTCGTCAAGTAAATCTTCCCGTGATTCTCCATCGCAAGCCTCGGCTGAAGAAGCAGCATATGATCCGTTAATCCCTACTGCGAAGAATATCAAGGTAAATATTGATAATTCCTCTTCAGTGCATAATCAAGATAGAGAGGTGCAGTATGTAGCAATCGCTCTGTCCCTTGTTGTTTGCCGCAGGATGCGATTCGGCTTCAAGCAATGTGGCGGGGCCACGAAGTAAGAACATGGATTCAAGCGGCGTCCATTGTGCGTTCTATGAAGTGGAACTTTACTGCTGGGAGTACTAAAAGTACTGGGACAAACGGGGCAGAGCCTCGTGGCTCAGAGCCCTTTAATGATGCCGCTTTAGAATTGAGCGTGACCAAAACCTATGGTCCCCTTGTAGACGGCTGTTCAGTATCTGAAGTCCCCTTGAGTGTTTCTTGTAGCCAGATAAGAACGTCTTCGACCACGGAGGTGGCAGATCTCTCAGGTACGAAGGTGCAATATAGGTTAGCATAAAAGTCTTTGATGGTCCGGCTGTAGTGTGATTAAGCAGCGTCTTTGTTCTAATGTGAATATGCAGGGAAGACGAACAACGAGCCAACCTGTATTCAAGATACAAAACTTACCCCAGAAGAGGTTGCTCCCACTTTTGAAACGGTGCCTTTGGGGCACCACAAAGAACTACCACCAACTCAGAAGCAATCAGACGTTGTTTGTGCTACTGGCGCAAGCTGTACTGGAACTACGCATTCAATTCCCGTTGGCGGGTTTGATGCAGAAGCCGAAAGAAGGCAACATGGGGGGCAACCGGCAAATGAAATCGCCCAGGTTGATCTGCCACTAACCATAGCAAGCGGCGCGTGCGATACCTTCAGCGGTCCAGAAGGAGCGGATGTTGCTGAGAGCCCCTTGCCTGTGGAGGCAGTTCCGTCCATCGTGCGAGGGCCATATTTGGCCGATAGCATGTCACCTAGCTCAGTTGTTCTCAGTCATCAAGGAGTTCCCGATGCTGCGCAACATGCGCTGCGCCGCGCTGCGCGAGAGCTGGGTTCGTCTCCACCTGTTTGCCATAGTGATCCTGAGACAGGCGAAGGCAACGAGGATAATAACCCTTGTTCGACCGAACCAGCTCAAGCTGAAAACGAGGATGTACTTGAGCACAGCAGCCCAGATGCTGCTCCACACCCACCAGCAGGTGTCGAGAAACCTGGTGAATTCGGAGGAAATATGGAGGAACAAAACGACGCAGATGATTCATCAATCTCACAGACGTTGTCCCAAGATGCAGCAGGAGAGAAACCGCTTTCTCTAGAAGACACTCTAACATCCAATGCAGCATCTGAGCATGCGGCTGCAGACGATGTAACACCTTCAGACGCGATAGCCAACAGAACCGTAAATATCGAGGACGATAGCTCAACTGGATCTAATGCTCAGTCTTCTCAACAATTGGAAGCACATCCTAGTAAGACACCTGGAAGGCGTATTGCTTATTCTGTAGCTCCTTTTGTACCTTTTGTAGGTAGGCCGACGAAGGCAGCTCAACGCCTGCAGAGTCCGGAAGTGGAAGCAAAAATTCGTGAGGAGACTCCCACAGTTGAATCTGAAGGGGCCGTTTCCAGTTTGGGAAGGCGTGTATCATTGGCGCTGCGCAGTGCCTATTCCATTTTCGGCAAGGTGGCAACAGCAGGGAGACAACACCCTGCTCAACGGGAAGAGGGAAGTGGTATATCGCATGCTGCTGTGGGATGGTTGAGGCGTCGCAGTTCTGATATGACAGCAGCAGCACAAGGGGGGACTGCAGTGGGAAAAGAAGAGGTACGCACACAAAATGTGCAGGCTGCACCTGTGGAAGGAAACGGTACTAGTAGCGTTCCTTTATCCCACCGCCCTCTATCATCTACTCCGCCAGTTGTTCAGAGAACGCCTCCGGTGTGGCCAGTTGGAGACGTTTCCATGGAAGAATCAGATCGCCAGACATTGGCATATGAAACAAAGCGTTGGGGGAGGCGCTTCACAACTGTAAATACTCATGAACCGCGTGCAGATGGCACGGGACCGACGCTTAATCCCTTTCGTCGGACACACCGAACGGAAGAATTTGTGGAGACACACTTACAACCGATCCCAAAGAAAAAGTAGTCAGTGATGCGCTGCTGTGAGCACAGGCAGTTAAGTGGAGTGGCTTTTAAAGCATTATCTCCATCATCATGCGCAATCATAGACAGATGGCTTTGCCCTGGATTCAGTGGCGTGCAACAAATTGTCGCTCGCGTAATTCTATCAATGTGTTTTGGAATTTCTGCAGTGGCCCTAACAACCGGTTTAGCCCTTCTATTTTCTGAAGCCGTAGCGCGGCTTTTCTTATACTTAGCTTGCAACCGCGAAACTGCGCTGCCTACTAAATGTGTGGCACCTTTTGTCAATTTAAGCGGCGTGGTGATAAACAAAATGCCACTTCTGCACAACCATATTCAGTTGGATTCATTCTCCTAAAATGCTGAAAGAAGCTTGCAGATGAAGCACGCGACTGCGCTCAATCATCTGAACTCATATTAATCTTTGTAGCGTGTCTGACCGACTGCAGAAGCTACAACAAAACTATGACAGAAGTGCACGCAGCAACTCTAATGGCCGTAAATTCAGTGGATTGGCATCGAGTAAAAATTATTTAACGTCATACAGTCTCTGGCTAGGCAGTAGTCAAAGAGGCTACGGGTTACACCCGTCGTACAGAGGGGGCAGCGGTTGCTCCCGAATATGCAAATTTGAGTAGCCATCTTTAGATTTAGGATTTGTCCGAGGTCCTGGGTGCCTATCAGGAAGTTTCCCACCGCAGACGTACATGCCAAACTCTTATTTTCTGCAGCTCAGCGATAGGGTGGAGGAATATCCCGTAAAACGAGCAGAGAAAACAGCGACCAATTTGTTCTGCCAAGAAGAGCAGTAGACATTGCCATGGAACGAAACCTCCCCACTGTTACGTCCTTATTGCCTTCTTATCAGGGAAGCGAAAATCATGTTCGTCGAACGGCGTTCCTCAAGAATATGCAATCCCTTAGGAGAGAAGCCACCTGCGATCACTGTAGGCTGCTCAGTGGTCGCATTTACACTATCCTTCCATCGCCTGTATGTTGGAGAGCCGCCCTCATTTGGCCGGTGATGTGCCGTCTAGCTTCAACACCGCCAAATGACGCTGGCTGCTCTTATTCATTCCAATTTGGATTCAAGGTAAATGGGAAGGAAAAGATGCTCCAGCTTTGGAGCTTCACTGTGTTGTTCGCATTTGGTGGCACCTTGGGGTTCCATGCCAACCACTCCCTGGACTAAAATCCTAGATGCAGGTTCCGCTATTATATTCACCAGAAACTACGTTTTGAGATGCATGACAGAGCTCGAGGCCCATCCAAAACCACGAAAGCAGCGGCGGGTACAGAACGGTGCAATCCAGTAAAACATCATCAGGGGCAATCCGGTGAGTATCCCCTCTTTTCCCTTTAAGGCAGAAGAGAGCCAGATATCAACCAATGCTAGTGCTAGTAAGTATCCTTCTCGAGATAATTATTCGCTGGAACAGTCTGGGAATGGCACTGCCAAACTGCCCATGCAAGTCGGCATCCAGACCGCCAGCATGCAACCCAAATTGCTAAGATATTCAGAGAGCCTGTTGTAAACGATACATAACAAGAGTCAAAAGAACGCCTAAACAATATGGGGATCGCACAGTTTCGTGCGTTACTCTTATTCCAACTTAACTGCATAGCGATGCCGCCGATGCTGCCAACTAGATGTGAAACATGATAGACTAACGAGCGGTTTTCGGCATATAGTAGGCACTGTAACGATTTCTTATTCTATTTGAGAGTCATGAGCCATACAGTAATTAAGCGATTCGTGCATAGCAATGCTCTCCTCCCTGATTAACGGATGCATCTGTGGGACGCCCGTTCCCTGCCAACCACTTGGTGAGAGCGATTGATCTGGCTGCTGCCCCGGGCATGTTTCTTGGCTTTGTTGTTGCGGTGTTGGGCCTTTTCTCTTGCTTCCTACATTCTTTTTGATGGGGAACATTTTTTTTGAACCTTCAAATTAGATTGCTCGAGGGATTCCGGCGTTCCGCCTCATTCCACTGGCGAGTACGCCTCGCGGTGACACTGGCTGCTTGCCACTTCGACCATCCCTTTGGGGCCGCAGCGTTATCTGAGAGTTTATGTCTTTCGCAGTATTACCTGCTTATTTTGACACGAATCCAAAAGTTCTGCTGTAGAAGCGCACCTGCAGGGGCAGCACGGCTTCTCGTCGTTGGCTGGGCGGTGCAAGAGGGAGCAGCGGCAGTTTTTTTTCTTTTCCCTCTACTGCATACAGCCCACGGATTTGGTATGACTTGCAAACTTGTAACAATGACGACTTCGAAGCTTTTGAGGCATGCAGCAGCTGCTGCTGCTGCTGTGCTTGTACTGGGCACGCTTCAGGGACCATCAGAGCCCAGCAACCGAGTTGGTTTCATTGGTGTGAATCTCGGCCAAATTTGGGCCGTTGAAGCAGCGGGATCCAACGGTCAGGATGACGAAGAAGATCAGAGCAGTTTGGGGGGAAGTGATGGTGAAGGATCGGCAGGTAGTGATGCTTCACAAAGCAACGCCAAGAACTCCTCAATAAAACAAGCAAGCGAAAACGGCGAGCAAGTTGACAAAGACGAAGTGAACAACATGGATCACAATGCAAATGGTGGTGATTCCAGAAAGCAGAGTAACCTGAGGGGCTCCGTAACCAACAGCATCACCCCTCTGCCTTTACCCGGGAAGAACCTCATAGAGAGCATCTTCGGCTCCCTCGCGGATGTGGCAAAGGTACGTCGCTCCCATATTATTCTCCCTCCAGTTATCGCGATAAGCCTACCAATTTTCTGTATAAAAGAAGGAGTTATCTTCTCGAAGGTCGAGGATCTGCAACTGGCTTGGTCTAGTTTATAACTAAAATGAGTCAGTTGAAGTTACACATAATGAGTTCGAGTGTTGGGCTCCATCTTTGGGGAAATGATTTTGCAGTGGAGTATTACTGTGTGTGCATTATTTAGTGCCAATAAGAAATATCCAGCAACTCTCGGGTGTGCATTTTCAGGAGTCAGGTCATCCTCTTAATGAACAAGCAAAGGAGGCGCAATTATTAAACGAACTCCTAGACAGAGTCTTCGTTCCCCGCCTGCAAACACCGTAAGTGCAGCTCTTTTCCTCTGTCAGCGCACAGTCTTTGTGGATATAGGAATAAAGCTGTGTGTATTCGCCCCTTTGTGCTCGGCGAATTTGTTAATGCAACAAAATTTTGCCACTCTACGACAGCGCTCATGAAATATGGCGATTGCGCTAGGCTACTACCGTTGCTCGTGTGGTGGCTGAGTTTAGGCCGAAGTATCAAGGAGCGTTGGAATGTTTGAACGAGTCAATATATCGCGACGTGCTGAGCGGCCCGAAGAAGGTCAAGGACAATCCCCGCTTGTTGCAGCACGCGTACTCTGTTCTTCGCCGCCCGCCGGCCGTGCTGGAGGTCCCGGAGCTGTTTGTTGAGCTTCGTCAGGCGACAGATAAGAAGGCATGGGAAGTGAGACGGAAGAGGGAAATAAATTATTACGAACGGAGAGGGGAACCCATACCTGATATATTGCAACTCTCAGCTGATGAGGTGACGGCGCTGGACGCCGCGGAACCACGAATGCGGGAAGAGGAAATCTCAGAAACGGAGTTGGCCACTCGCGTCATCATGGTAGACGGGTGGATGAAGGAACAATACCGCTTGCGTCTGTACTATCGCAAACGCATTGGTCAACTGAAGGAGGATCCGCAGGACCTTGTTGATGGCTTTAATCCAGGTCCTAAATTCGTATCAGTTAGCGTAGAAGAAGTGTTGGGCTTGAGCTACGGTGCGGTGTTGGATCCTGAACCCGAGCCTGTTGATCCAGAAGTGCAACGCCCCAATGCTCGGGCCGCAGAATTCTAATGAAGGAATGCACATCCGTCGCACCGTACACAAACATAGGCAATCAGGTATGAATTGGCTTTTGCGCTACCCGGCAGCTGGAGATTGGCGTTTATTGCCTGTTGCTTGCATCATGTGCTAGAGCCCCAGGAGGCGCTACGACTAAGACCTAAGAGGCTCTCAGAGGCAAACACTGAGGAGCGCCCGGGGGGTTCGTAAATATTCACATACTAACGGCTCCATCCTTGCACGGCTGTGACGCAGCCGATTGCTGCAGAGGGTAATGAAGCTGTGACGCCTAGGGGACTGTCTAGGGTAGATAACTGCGGAGGCTTGCTCGTCTGTTGCTAATGCGTGACGCACTGACCGGGTGGTGCCCGAACCCCGTCTTAAACCCGCATGTAAACACACACGAATCTTGTGGGGAGGGCTGCCCAGCACGGACCTGCTGGGGAATTGATTGATTGACGCTGCCAGTGCAAGTTACGCACCCCACAGGATTTCAGCAGCGTTTACGTGAGCCAATACCTTTGAATGCGCCAATTTGGATGATGGCTGCATAATAGTAACGGAACGTCCTCTTTTGCGTATCAATTCTTCCCACGGAGAAAAACTAGTGGGATATGTCCAGCTGCCCCGTTGGCACGGTTTGCTTTTGCCTCCCCGCATTTGACCTTGCCTACCAGCACCTGCGTATTTGTACTAGGTCAGGAGAGTGCACTAGCACGCTCGACTTTAACGCTTGCACCGGTCTTTGTGTAATCCCTGCCAGTCTACGCCATGTCACAGCGAGTGTGCGAACCCTCGTGTAAAAAGCAGCACAAGCGGGCGTCGCCTCATTGATTGCGTCCTGACTTCACCTTCCCCGCATCTAGCACTCACTGCATTGAAACCCTCCCTGCGTCGTTGATTAGCATTCGACCAACCAATCAGCAACAACCTACAAGCTTATCGCTTGTTGGGGAACTGTTAGTTCCAATGCTCTAACTGCGGGAATTCTCAAGATGATCCTGGCACAACGCCGTACCGGTTTCACCCCCTCCTCAGATACACCTAGTTTCAGGGACATGCAGATAGCTGGGTAAACGCTGCATACAGATATCTGACTAAACGTTGCGTACAGATGGTTGGCTAGCTTGCACTTCACAAGGGAAAAGAAGCTGAGGTGTGTAAGTTCTTGCGCTGAATTGGTCTTTATAAGAACAGCCGCGATGGAAGACCGGCTGTCGACCGCCCAATAGACACGGGCAAAGGTGCCCGCTGCAAGAAAAAAAATATTGCCTCGAGCCTCTGTGAGGACGGAAGAGGCAATACAAGCTGCCTCCAGGACAAAAGATGTTTCTCCAGCTTGTCAAGCAGCAGCCTTTTGGTTCTAGAGTTATCTAGATAATAATCATCATCCTGCCGCTGGGATGGCAGTGGCAGGAACACGAAGCCGCCGCAGTCCTACCCACATTTGCAGCTTCTTCCAATGCTGCTACTCTGTTTCTTAACGTCCACCGTCGCTCAGTTCGTCAAGATCTTCGATTCTACTGCTTGAGGTCCTTCCCTTGGTAAGTTGTTGCTGATTCCTGCGTCTTCTAGTAGCAGTTGCTACTGAATGGCGGTATTGCTGCCTACGCTGGGCTCCGTAACGGATGCTCCTGTCATCTCTGCCTTCCAATGTTGGCTTGTGGGAAGCAGCAGACACTGTGGATTGCACGTCTTCCCACTCGGGTTCCGTTTGTTCTTGTTGCTGCGTTTGTCTTTTTCGGCAGCGCTTGCAACAGAAGGATACACAGATATGCTCAATGCCGAACCACACTAGAGAGAGGCGGAATCTCAGCCTATCCATGAACGACGCCTCCCCTGCTTGCACGGTTTGATACTTCTTCAACAGCTCTGTGAACTGCCGTAGGTCCTCCGTGTTCGGAGTCCCATTCCTACCTCTGCCCCCGAACATGGCAGCTACAGCCTCCGCCACGGCATTCTGACTGCACTCGTCGTGGTTTTTATTACTATCCACACCGGCAGCTCGCATAGCTGCTTGCACCGCGGCAATGTCGTGCATCATATTCTGATTATATTGCATGCAGTCCGTACTGGATTGCTGCTTCTTAGCGAACCCCCCAAACCAGTCCATCACAGCTGTCTTCACATAGGTCAGTAAACCTCTCTGTTTCGAAGGTGCTGCCCCTGCAGCAGCAGCTCCAGCCGCCTCCGATCGCGGGTCATGTTCCAGTTTGCGGAACATCCCCTGGAGCAGCTTCTTTTCTTTTACTGCGTGCGCCGCCTTCAGGTGCCGTAACTGGGCCTGCAGCGACAAGGCCAGAGGACTCCCCGGAGACACTCGCAAATAACGATCTAAGGTCGCCAACGCTCCGTCAAAATTCCCTAACTCCTGCTGCGCCTGCTCAGTAACACAAAACAGCTCACACGGTACATGGGCGTTTACTACTTAGCCACTCTAATTATGTAATCGGTCCTTGTTCCCTCCTGGTCTCGAATTTTCGGCCGATTCTAAAACTAGTCTACAATGAAGCAATCACCCTTAAACAAAGGTCCTCCTGATGCTCTGTTGATACACTTTGTTGCCTCGCACCTGAGCCTTTCTGTAGAGAGCCTTCACAGCTGTCGGGTCCCGCTGCAGTGCTTTGTCACAGTACAGGATGCACGCAGCCCAGCGGCCCTCCTTAAGGGTGGAGAGTGACAAATTCAACAAATACGACTGGTGCATCTGCAGTCGTATGCGCACGCAAGGGAGAAAATGGCAATCACAACAAAGACACCATGTTTACTTTAAATATACATCCACACTTAGGTAGCAGTAAGCTATGCAGAAATGTAACTAAGAAACCGAAACTGTACACGTGCCGTATGCGCTTCCGCAGCCTTAAGTCTTCCTTAAGCTTCTGACGTACAGTGAGGAATTCTTTTCTCTTGTCCTCATCGAACTCATCCTCCCGGGATAGGATGTAGTCAAGCGTACGGAGCCCACGGCTCCATGCGTCTGTTGCCCCCCTCCAATCACCGGCGCGGAAAGCTCGCAGTCCCTCCTCCCTCACGCTGTCTGCTGATTCGGAAACTTTATCCCCGGGAAGTGCAGCATCAGTGCTGCTCTCGTGAAGGTAGTCTGTGTCCTGTGCAAGCGAAGAGGATGAGCAATGCATCGTGCTGTGAGCGATGCCAACACTCTTGCCCCCACTGACTTGAGCAGGGAGCTCCATTGGTACAAAAAGACAAAATGCCGCGTGAACGGAAGAAACGTTTATCCTCCAGAAAAGCAACAGAAACTGATGGACACCGCTGGTTATGCTCCTTCTGCGACGGTGGCGCGCTGATTGGCTGTGCGTCCTCTAGGCAGAAAGCAGTGCCACTCCCAAGAGCATGCAGGCCGCACCGGCGAAAAATCGGCAGCTCAAATGCTCTCCAAGAATTAGCCAAGACAAAACGACGGAGCTAAGGAAGTTAGATGCAAAGGCTGCGACGCTGCTGCTGCCAGCGGACGGTGCAACTAACAAGGACTTGACATGGAAGTTCAGCATAAGGCCGTTACACGCAAGCATGCTCCCGAAGAGGCAAACACGCAGGAGCAGGACGGAGCAAAAGAAACAGGCAAGTGCACTTAAAAATACTTCCCCACCCAACTCCTCTGGAGCTGCGAACTTGCAGTGCGGGCCAGACGTAGCAAGCAGCGCCGTCGCTCTCCCCGCTTGAATTATCAAGGATCCAAAGCCTTCAGGTTTCAGATTAAACTGCGTAGAGTGACAGTCTGCATTGCCTTGCACAAGCAGCACGTCTCGGTAGACTGGAAGAGTGGGACACAACCAATGTAAGAGGGCGGCTGAGAGCTGCGGAACCGGATCACTGGGGCTGAAGCTGCAGGCCAGCTTCCCTAAAACAGAGGCTGTAGCGGCGAGAAGCCCCGTGAGGCCTACAAGTTGAAGGAAACGCAACGGGCGGAAAGGTGAGCCTGCGGCGGCACCGACGTTGGCATCAGCAGAGGCACTGACAGCATTGCCAACAGAAGAAGAGACGGGTTTCCGAAGGTCACAAGACGTAGCAGTTGAACGTGCAACGACACACTGTGCTGGTTTAGAGGAAGCGGAAGCAGCAGCCTGGCCTTCAGTTGCCCTAAGACCAAGGTCGGCAGTGCTTGGCGCTACCATCGCTTCGCCGTGTGTAACGAAGATGTCATGCTGCTACTTTATCAGCAGCATACAAAAAAATTGCTTAGACTGTACGAAAGTACTATACATTAAACATCCAACGGCCGCCTCTTAAATGTGGTGCTGCAGACACCACTGATGCAGCAGGAGAGTCGGCCGGGGCTGGGGCCCTGAAGCTCGGAGAATCAGCATGTTTTCCTAGCAAATAGTCAACTCCCAACAGGAATGACTTAACCTTTGAATGCGGAGTTGTAACAATATAAATACTACTGAGCTGCCGCAGCTGGCGCCTGCTGAGAGGCTGGTGATGGGTGGGGATTGCGTTGCGGCTGTTCAGGGTCGTTAGCTTTTGCATGCATGGCTTTATTCGAAACGTGCATTTGCGTGTGGCCAGTCATATGATTCTATTCCATGAAAGTGTAAGGCTAGTATTGGCACTGCGGGCGATCTTGCTCGGTCGACAAATACTGGCAGGCTGCCCTTTTCCTGGGGTCGTAGCAAGTCTATCAAGTTGGTACCTGTATTTTTACTTCACGCTGGCTGTTGATGGCCCAACATGTGTGTGTAGGCTGTCAAATACATACAGGATGGACCAGCTTACGCGAATGTAGGGTTGAAGTACAGCAATAGTTGCATGGAGGCACCTGCAGCTCGTGGCATGCAGCGCAGTCTCCTAACCAGTTTAACGCCCTCGGACTGCAGTGGCGAGAATACATGGAAACGGGAACGGGAGCCACCTGCACTGAAAATTCGTAAAGAGAGTGGTTCAATGGGATACGTTCAAGCTGCGAACACCGCCCGCGCAGGGCAAGCCGGTTCATAAGTTCACAGGAGTAATTAGTAGAGCGGGGGATTTTTTGACGCGGAGCGGAGTTGGGACTTTCGTGTTGTTGAAGAAGGCTGATCCAAGCCACCGCTGCAACAAACAAGGACTTGACATGGAAACTCAACAGGGGAGCAGCTTCTGAATTCGTTGGCGATTGCACGTTTTCACTTGCAAAACCATGGAGCACTTCCATCGTAATGAATAGGCTCAGCATGCATGCCCACTTTACCCCTTTTGCTAGTTCGGCATGCCCACTCAGTCCCTTTTTCTAGTTCGGTTAGAACAGAAAGAGTGGCCCAGGTATCTATTAATCGTTTCTGGAACTTTTATGGTTAAAAAGTATCGGAGGCAGGGTCAATGAGAAGGCGGCGCAGGGTCGTTCTGTACCTGAGACTCTACACCAATCAGACCTTCTCATGATGATTCGACTTCGTTAGCATCGCTGCTCTACACCGACACCGTTGGGCGACCGACACTAAAACTGGTTATAGGAACCCAGATCCGTACAGCCTCTTGTGCTACGCTCTCACCCAGCTGGCAGCAACATGCGAGTGCATGAGGAAAATTGTGGTGTATCTCAGCCTGTTAAGACCCTAATGGCGATCATTGGTATACAATTCAGGATGTCGTTTCTGATACGAACTTCCTAATTTCTGAAATATATTTTGTACTAATTGTTATGTCGAACTTGAATTCCCCCCGAGTCCAATTACCATCGGTAGAGGACTGTCTTTTTCCTTTTTTGGATCCCCCAATGCTGCACATTCTATCGCATCGGATGCAGTCTTCGGGGCTTGCAAACACATCAGCACAGAAGGCCTCGGGTAGCTGAGGCCCGTTGTCCATCTCTCCAGCCTGGAAAGTCTGCCAGTGGTAACGCGACGCACTGTGCTAGCAATTGAGCCGTTTTCTGTTCAATTCGTTTGCCAAGAAAGAGTCGGAGACACTGTGCCGACAGGCAAAGTCAACGTTAACAGAGAACACAGCGTGGCGGAGATCACAGTGTTTTGCAGACCCAGGAGCGGTATTCTGCTCTGCTGCCGCAACAACAGACCTTCTACATACTCAGCAAGCAACTCATTTCCCAGATGCTGGAAGCGGTGCTGCACGAAGTGAGCGGAGCGGGAGAGCTGAAGGTCGCCTGGGGTAGCAGCACGACGGAATTGTAAGTCAATACAACAATCTTCAGGGCCGTCATTGGCTCACGAGAGCGTCTGCTGCTTGTGTGCAGGGTGAAGGGAGCAGGTGCATTGTATTCCTTGCGATATCGGCTAGTATATCGGCGGTGAGTGAATTAACCTTTACGGAGCCAAAGTGGACGATCGGTACGGAAGCGGAAGTGTTCACACCGTCTACAGTGTTTGTACATACAACTAAGGAAGCTTGATTGTACTTGGATGTGGGCTGTCTTGTTCTTTGAGTTACAACAGGCTGTGTTGCAACTCTTTGAAGGCGCATAAATGCCTCAAAGCCGCAAAGCCGCGTTTGGCTCAAACCCGCAGCTCCAGGGGCTTGAGCAACTGAGCTCAAGGTCATCTAGAGACAGGTGGAGAAGGTAATCTGCCTATAAGAGACATTCAACTTAAGTATTTTCGCTCTCTTGTGGCTCACAATAGCTCTCCGATAATATCCAGGACCTGCGTTTCAGCTCCCGTTCAAAAGCTGCTAAACCACGAACTCTCAGTTGGGGTGTTGTGGGCAGTACTAGAGCGCGATACAATTCGAAACCAAATTGGCAAAACTTCATAGGAAAAAGGGTACGCCAGGTAAAACTGAGCTTTCTCCAGATAACCGCAACCGCACCTGCCTGTAGTTGTGGCCAGCAAAGGTATGTAAGCTGGAAAGGCAGCTCTCTGGGTCCCTACCACACCACTACCTTACCACTTCACACAAGATTTGAGGAGACATATAGCTGTAGAGTAAGTGAAATAATTGGTTTCTCAGGTGATGACAACAACTGGCATCCGCTGCAACTTTGTGGGACCCCGACGCGATGGTTACAGCTGAAGTGTGAGTGTCTGTTAGGTGTTGAAAAGGAAAAGAGGAAGTGTGCTCATTCAAAGTGCAGGCGAACACTTTTTCCTTTTCTCCTGGGCTTTAACAACAGCAAAATACCGTGTGTTTGTGCAGTTCACTCCGCAGGTCCCTCTGGCCTGTTGCGATGACGCGCCGGGCAGTGGGTTTTGCTCGTTTCTTCAAAGTGAATTTGGTTGGTATTCTCGGGCTGTTCGCAGTAGAAAGCATTTGTTTTTCCTCAGCATTTGTTGTTTCCAAGCCTTTGGCCTCTTCAGAGAGGGCTTTGCGCCAGAATCTAGCTGCGTTAACTGCAACCCGCCTGCCTGGCAGGGTCATTACAGCACACGACAGAGCAGCATCCCTGGCTCCCGCTCGCAAGTCTCTACTGGTGCGTCTTCTTTCTTCATCTATTCATAGGCGAGATCTGCCGGAACTCAAGCACGCCGCTGGACGTGTCGAGGTAGCTAACGTACGTTCCGGTGCGAGCGCGGGAGCAGCAGACACCCCGCCTGTCGAGAAGATGGAAGTAGTGCTTTCACCCGGTGATGGCGTTGGCGGAGAGGGCCTACACTGGGCGCCCAGCAATGCAAATGGCGCATTGATCTTTATGCATGGCTTGGGGGACACTGCTGGAGGATGGTCGGATTTGCTGCAGCTGTTCGAAGCGGCCCAGATTCACCAGAATACGCGGCTGATTCTGCCTACAGCCTCGACGCGTCCAGTGACGCTTAATATGGGAGTCCGTATGACAGCATGGAGCGACATACGGGGCCTATCACCAGATGCGATCGAGGACGAAGCGGGCCTGATGGATAGCAAGGCACGTATTGACAAAATAATTGACTCTCAAATCGAAGCAGGCATTGATCCTTCGCGCATTCTTGTCGGGGGCTTCAGTCAAGGCGGTGCTGTGGCTTACTTGGTTTGTCTAACGTCTCCGCACAAGTTGGGGGGCATTCTCGCGATGTCTTCGTGGTGCCCGCTGGGAAAGGTGATTGAAGTTTCCCCCCACTACGTTGAAGCTGTGCCGCGAATTATGCACTGTCACGGCGCTGTAGACGATATGGTCCGTCCGGTGTACGGACAGACCAGCGTGGAAAGCGTGCGAAACAGACTCATTGATGCGGGGGCTCGCCCAGAGAAGTGTCAAGAGGATATCACATTCAAGCTGTACCCAGGTTTGGGCCACTTCGCCAACCAGCAAGAACTCAACGATATAAAAGCCTTCCTTTCGCGTACCTTCGGTTCACAATGAGATGCGCGGGGTCGATGGCGTAGGTTTGATACCTCAATGTGCATGAAGCATACAGGCATGTTATATTCTTCAGCTGCGTTCACGTATGACATATATTGTGTATGATTAGATATAGCCTGTATATATTTGATCATGTCCTGCACCAAGGGGTTGATCTTATCCTACATCAGGGGATGGGTTTCCTTTGACGGAACAACCCCCAGTATCAGAATGATGAGATCCTTGAAGCATCTCATCATTTTGTTACAAGGGGTTGTTCCGCTGGCCACTTACGCGTCTTTGATACTTACAGACGCTTTTAGAAGTGACAAGATCCCTTTTTGAGCTGTACCTAGGACGCATGGCCTCACTCGTGTTGTACTGCTGAATGTTCATGCCAATGTCGTATGGTGTGGCAATGGGTGGAGTTTTGGGGCCCTGGTCGTTGAACAAATGCCGAAGGCGTCTTTTCCGACTTTTCTGGTGTACGGACAATATAAGCTAACAGACAGATTGCGTACGCATCATTTTCCCTGGTGAACTTATGATGGCCTCTATTGAGGCCTCAGCAACTGAACGATGGGTAGATCCTTGGCTAACTGGGGGGCCATGCGACAGTTGTACGGCATCAAATGAATGTGAGTATCAGTATGAGCTGTAAACTGGGAGTTTGGAGGCCTGTTAAGAGCACTCAAATCGTTGTTGAAAGCAACTTCCTCTGCCTTCCAGACAGTTAATGGTTAACCGGCAGGTGGTCTGGCGTCGGGTGGGTGGGAAGGGTCGTAAAGGATTGCGATTCTGGGCGATCAGCAGCGCCGAATTTCAGATGGAAAATAGCTCGATCAGTTGGTAATATTACTACCAACGAACTACGTAGGCTGCGCAGGCGATTATGCATTATGATCTCAGTACGTCTGCACATAGGTTAGACCTGGCGATCCCCTAAGATTTTGAGTTGAATCTGAGCACCTCGCTGTACGCATGGAAGGTTAGCTATCCTACAAGCTAACCTTGGAAATTTTGTTATTATATATGCGACTAATGATTAAACCTTCCGCAGCACCCTCCTGGGTTGTGCGGTTTTGTACTGCACGAATGCCACAATGTATCTTCCGTACGACTCTAGAGGCCAGTAGTAGGGGAGGACATCATATTCGGTAATGTTAGCTAGGAGCTAGCTACATTTAGGATGAAATTAAGGCACCAAGCCCACAATTCCCCTGCAACCTGCCGAGGCCTGGTGCTGAACAGGATAACAGCGTCGTAGCCGAGACATTTGCCTGCTAAAGGCCTGCAGGCTGTTCAGATCTACGTGGGATCCCCTTTACTATACAAACACATAGGCAGAAGTCTGCATATTTGTTTTTTAAGCCGGTTATTTTAGTGGTAGTAGTCGAGTTTTAAGGCCTAACAATTTCGGTGTACCCTATACCTTGGAACTGAGAAGCTACGTAACGCGGCCGAGTTCGATCTCAGTGTGTTCGTGTGTACTATGGGCTGCATTTTCATATATCACTGAGTCGGCCGTGTCAAGGTACGTAAACACGCAGAAATATATGGCTTACCACATCCTTTGCAGCTTTGGTTTAGGCAAATGTTATTTGAAACTAGAGTGTAATTGCATCGCTGGGGGGAATATGCAAATTTCAGCCCCGTGTGCCTCGTTTCGATGCTAGATCGCAGCTCAGGCTGCAGGTAATCGAGAAAGCGGGAATATCTAAAGAAGAACAAAAAATTATATCCATCTCATTGCTCAAGAGTGTAAAGGAAGCACTGAAGAAGAAGCAAGTGCAAGCTCATCTAGAACTACAGAATCCATCGCGCATTGGCCGTGTTGAAGCAAACTGAAACAAATGGTGTCCTTGCGCTGCAGTTGTAGCAGCAGCAACAGCAGCAGCAAATGCGACTTCTTGACTTACTTGGTGTTACCCGCCCCTCCTCCTGATGAGGATGACACTCACGAGGCTTTCCGTTCTTCCCTGTACTTGTCCTTAGGCATTGACATATGCACGTCCGAAGCACTCGTCTCTCGCAGCAACCATGTAGAACCGGCTATTTCTCTTCTTGATAACAGCAAGAATGCAAAACAAAGACCGCTTAGGCTTCTAAGAATCTGCTGCTGCCTATGCGGTGGCTGTGTCCGAGTTAACTGCGGCATGTGGCTAGACGCCCTGCGCGTGCAGCACGCCTCCGATAGCGAGCTGTATTTCTTTCAGGCGCACTTGCAGTGCCCACAGAATTCGGAGAACAACACCAGTGACGCTGCAGCAGAAACAGTAGCAACGGCAGCAGCGGGGGCAGCAGCAGCAGCAGCAGTAGCAGCACGTGATGTTCCCCCAACAGAAAAGCGAAAGAGGGAAGGAGGCATAAGCTGTTTTCGCCTGGCGAGAGGCAGAACCCGAGGCAGCAGAGAAGAAGCGTGGGGCATTCTTGCTGGCTGCTCAGGCCCCTTCAGTTTCCGCCACTGCTTAACGATAATGCAACGCCCCCCTGATGTGCTGATGCAGAACGCGCAGGGGCATTGGGTGGCGGAGCAGGCAGGACAAGCGGGCATCGCTTACGCGTCTCAGGCGCACCGTTTATTCTCTCTGTTCTGTGCTCCTGCAAATGAAGTGAGGTCGTATACGATTGAGGAAAGACAGACTGCTATCCTCCGCGAAGCAGCCGCCGAGTTGCAGGCATACGTACACCCCAAGTTGCAGGTGGCGTCATTCATGCAGGAGGGGAGGGGACTCGTTGCAGCAGAAGAGCTACAGCGGGGAGAAATGCTTATGCGTATTCCTGCCTCAGCCCTCCTCAATGTTTACACGGCTCTGGTGCACCCTACATTCTCTCCTCTTGCACAGTTGCTGCTGGGGCTTCCCCCCGAGCGTCTGCAGCAACAGGAAACAGCAATGCAGCAGAAGCCGCCTCCTCAGCAGAAGAATGCCAATTTACCTACGGAATTGCAGCCTCTTGTTGACTGCGATGTCGTTCTGTGCCTCTTTCTTCTCTTTCTTGCATTTACTTGTGGAGAGCAGGGAGGAAGAGCCGTCTTGCGTTTCCTCCCTGCAGCTGGGGAGGGGGACGCCGCAGCCACAGCAGAGGCTATGCGTTCCCCTTCGTGTGGTAAAGCAGCAGCAGCAGCAGCAGCTCAAGCAGATGAGTTCTTGCTGATGGATTCTGAAGGGATCGTCGAGTTCCTCGGAGATGCTGCCTTGAGGAGCGGCGTTGAACGCTCTCTAGCAAAGTGTAAGATGATGCAGGAGGAGCTGCTGCCGCTGCTGCAGCAGGCTTTTCCTCCCCCTGCAGGGATTCACCAAGGAGGCGGAGTACTCTCCGCCTGCAGAGCAGCAGCAGCAACAGCCTGCAAAACAGATGTATTTTCCGAGTCTTCCATGCCAGCTGGTGCTGTGGCAGCGGCAGCAGCAGCAACAACAGCAGCAACAGCTCAGAGTGGCAGTGCCTCTGGGGACTGTCTTGCCTCTTCCTGCGAAGGGACCGATCTTCTCAAGACATTCTTAGCGCAACTGAACTACACGGATTTTGTGTGGGCGCATCTTATCCTCGATTCCCGTTCTTTTTCGCTTCCCCTGCGGCCCTTGCCGCCTCTTCAAGAGTTTCAGTCTTCTACGGGGGATATTAAGAAAGCTCCTAACTCCTACGCCGGTGACAATGCTACTGGGGAACCACCGCTAGTCAGCGGGGAAGACAGCGGCAGAAGGGAGGATGATGAAGAGGATGAAGAAGTTGGGGAAGAGCATCGAGTGCCGTTCCTACCAGAGTTACTTGAGACGGCAGCACAGGACTGTCGACGCCTGCGTCTGCCTGTGGGGGATCGGGGGGTGCATGGCAAAGAGGAGCCTGTGCTGTTTGTACGGCTTCCTCCGCGCTGTGCGTCATTTGTTCCTCTTGGAGACTTGCTGAACCACCACGCCCATGGGCAGGTGTTGTCTCCTGAGATAGAGAAAGAAACCGGATGTCTCTGCCTCCGGTTAGCCTGTGATGTTCCAGCCGGTTCCCAGGTGTACGCACACTACGGGCCTCTGCAGTCGTGGCAGTTTCTTGCCTACTTCGGATTCTGCCCTTCCTCGTTTCCGCGTTTGCAACCTCCTCATAGTGCAGCAGCAGCAGCAGATAAAGGCGACACAAACGGGGAATGGCAGTTTACCGGCGAAGCCCCAGGTTCGTATGCATTCTCGGCTGGTGCTCTTATTATTCCACTTACTGCTCCAGCAGCAGCAGTAGCGGCTGCTGCTGCTAAGGCTGCTTCGGATTAAAACGACCAGCACGTCTTCGTGTTCGTCAGAAACGATGGGTTTAGTGTTTTAGTTTTAGTGCATGGAGTTCGTCTGCCTCGTCAATTACCTTTTATTATTATTTCCCGACTTTTGCTCTGCTTGAAGGCGTGGGTGTATATTTCCCTGTCAGTGGCGGTGCATCTTGGTTGCTTGGTTGCATGTCAGTACACGGCATGAGTTGCTGCTGTCGCTTAATCTGTTTGATATGTGTAAAAGATCCTGTTTGCTGTGTTAGGAAACCCCGTGGATTTCTTAACGGTGCAGGTGGAGATCGCCGATGACGACGCGGAATATGAGCTAAAGCAAAGCATCATGGAGCTGCAGGAGTTGCCTCTCTGCGGCTTGTTCAGTACGGGGATAGAAGATGTCTCCTGGAAGTTCTTGGCTTCAATGTTTGTTTCTTCCCACCCCAGTCTCGATCATTTTCTATATGCAGGCGGAGCTGGTCCTGCAGGAGCAGCAGTGGCCGCTGCTGCAGCCACTGCAGCGGGAGAAGCAGTATGGGGGCCTACGTACACTTGTACTGCTATTCGCAACGATCCGGAGGCTGCTACCCGTATCCGTGATCTTGTTGCTGACGCGCTGCAGTCCGTAGCCAAGGCTGCTGAACAGCGTAAGCGTTGCAGCTACTCGTCCATTTTGCAGCATCTGCAGTACCAGTTGCAGAAGTAGCAGCCGTATGGCACCTACATGGATATATAAGTATACATCGGCAATGCGAATGCCTCGCTGAATCTACGGTCAATCATGGCATAAAGAATGGGCTGTATCTGATAAGAACAAACAAGGGGTTCGGGAGGGGGGAATGAAAACAGGTCTGTAGGGGCTCTGCGGTGTTGTTGCTGCAGGATCTGCACAGTTGGACAAGTGGGAAAAAGACACCGGAACGGCACCGCGTTGGGTTCGGGTTTGGGGAGAAAGGCTGCGGATATATTTGAACAACCAGAAGGCCCTCACCAGCACGCAAATGAAAACATTATTGAATTGTTTGTCTTTCTGCCCTCCATCTTCTGCACCGTAGGCCTTGGGCGCTGCATATGGGGACCGAGGCAATTTCGTGCCTAGATACTGCTGCAGTGAGCGATTCGGGTGTATCTGCACTGTATCTGTATAACGGACCTGTAAATGCAGTCCCAGTGAATAGACACTTTTTAACCAACTGATAGGGTTTAGTTTGTTGTTTAGACTGCTTTCTCGCCCGAAGCCGCACATGAGCCCGCTGAGAAGTAGAGTGTGTAGCAGCCAGCGGCGGGATGCGTAGGGAAACGGACAAAGCTTTTCTTGCTATGGATAGCATGCAGGGAACGCAGCCTTGCAGCCAGCAACTGGCGAAGGGGCATCTAGCCAGAGCACGTGTAGGTGCGCCGTCTGGCAGAAAACGTACTTAATTAAATTTGAAGCCAAATCTGAGGAGCAAGTACTTCTAGCTAAAAGTATTGAAGCCCACCTTCAACCGCAGTTATACATGCTCTTATACATTCATTTAGACGACGGGGGCAAACAAATGAATATACCGTTTGCATTTGTACTGAGGTTGCCCGATTTCATGGACGTAAGCACATATGTTTCGAGAAACGGGATTTAGTAATACATCTTTATTTAGTACTTTTGAAGATGAGACATCTCTCTGTATCAACCATAAGCATGCACGGATGGCCGAGTGGTCAAAGGCGCCAGGCTCAAGTTCTGGTGGACGGTTGTCCTCGTGGGTTCAAATCCCACTTCGTGCATCATTTCGCTATATTTTGCTTACTTCAAACCCTTTCGTGACGCTGCGCCACAAGCACGGATGGCCAAGTGGCCTAAGGCGCGAGTTCTGGTGGACGATTGTCCTCGTTGGTTCAAATCCCACTTCGTGCATTCTTTTCGCTTTATTTTGCTCACTTCAACCCCTTTCGTGACGCTGCGCCACAAGCACGGATGGCCGAGTGGTCTAAGGCGCCAGACTCAAGTTCTGGTGGACGATTGTCCTCGTGGGTTCAAATCCCACTTCGTGCATCATTCCTCTTTATTTTTTCTGCTTCAAACCCTTCTGTGACGCTGCGTCACACGCACGCGTGGCCGAGTTGTCTAAGGCGCGAGGTCTGGTGGACAATTGTTCACTTGGGTTCAAAACGCACTTCGTGCATTCTTTTCTCCTTATTTTGCTAACTTCAACCCATTTTTGTGACGCAGCACTACACGCACGGATGGCCGAGTGGTCGAAGGCGCCAGACTCAAGTTCTGGTGGACGATTGTCCTCGTGGGTTCAAATCCCACTTCGTGCATTCTTTTTGTTTTATCCTGCTTACTTTGACAAACCTTATCGTAAGGCCGCGCGGTGTTCGTAATATTTGTACTGCTGTAGTCCCTAAGTTTATATAATATATATAT